CTTTGTCTTCAGCGGATGTGTTGGAAGGTGACCATCATAGAGTGCCAATTTAATAGAAGAAAATATTCTTGCATTGAGGGAGTACTTGAGTGGCGGCCCAATATCCTTCTGCTACCTTAATACTAGACCTATAAATATAGGCACATAGATCTATTTCCCCATCCTCATATATAAATATATTTGCATATGTACGTGTCTTTATCTAGACCTCCTTAAATGCCCTTTGCCTCCTGGCTCTTTCCTCTATTTCCCCTGACCTTCCTCCTGTCCCACTATCAGTGCATGTGACTTTTTTACCCCACCAAGTATCTTGTGCTTCCGAGTCTTAGATGGTCACACTTTTTTTTTTTCAATAAGGATATGAAATTCAGACATCAAGTCTTTGTTTGAAATATACTTCATAAACGGTTTCAAACTTGCCAGCCTAATTAAAGAAATGATCTGCCTTTTATGGTTGATTATGTAAAGTGCAGCAGTGTGTGGGTATGGTATTCGTCTTAGTTTCTTTTCTCCAGGGAAGTTGGTATATGTTACTTGCTTTATTAAACAAAATTAGTAAAACGATCTTTAAACAACTGAATGAAAACTTACAAAAAAGGTGCATTTTTATTACTAATATATAAATCTACACGTAGACATGATAGAGAAAATTAGGGTTGCCTTTATACAAGGAGACCTCAAAAAGTTCATAAAAAAAAAACGGAATTAATAGATCATTGAATTTTCACTTGAACTTTTTTAGTGCCCCTCCTATTGTCAGCATTCTTTTATTTTAATATGATGTAAAGTTTAGTGGGTATAGTTATGAACTTCTTAATTACTAAAACCCCAACAGGGTTAATCACAAACTGAGTTTTTCAGTAGCAATAAAAAAAGGATACAAAGAGAATTGTCACTTAATTCTGCTGAGATTGGACCCAGGTTTTGTTCTAGACATTGCAGAGTTTTAGGATTGTGGTCGTGGACTTCTATGATAGCGCCTGTAGTGGGACATCTAGGGAGCAGCTCCCGGAGGCCAATTCCTTTTGTCCAGTTGATTATGTAACTACCGTGACATGAAACAGCTTTAGCAAATGACTAGAGAATACAGGATACTGCACAGGTTGCTTTGTTCAGGAATTCAGCTGTGCTGTGTATTCCAGGGCTATCCAGTTTCTATTATACTTCATATTTTAAAATGTGGACCCCATATCTCATTTAAAATTTTCTCATAGCTACATAAAAACAAAAATAGGGAAATTTTATTTTAATAGTATATTTTATTTAACCCAATATATCCAACATGCTATCATTGTAGCTTGTAATCAATGTTAAAATTATATGATACAGTACTGCGCAGTGTTTCAGGAATGTACATAAGCTGACACACTGGCAACTAGCCACAACAAATCAATTTTTTAAACTGAGTTGGTTTTATTTTGTTTGTCCCAAACTGTAATATTTAATATTAAAACAAACAAAACCTCAATATTATCAAGTCACTTCTGACTCACAGCAACCCTATAGGGGAGGGTAGAACTGCCCCTGTGAGTTTACGGGAGTAGAAACCCTCATCTTTCTTCCAGTGAGCAGCTAGCTGGTGATTTTGAACTGCTGGCCTTGTGGTTAGCAGCCCAACTCATACCACTATGCCATCAATGCCACCAATGCCACCAATATTTGATATCGTCATCATATATTTTATAATATTTATTAAAATAACAACTAAAAATTATGCTTCTTGTTTATTTATTTTAACCTTCTCTTTAAAAGCCTACCTAACCTAGGCTTAGCTTCCAGAACAGAAAGAACACATTTATGGAATGACTAGTGTCACCAAATGAGGTCTGGAGCTTAGTTAACAGTAACATACCAAAATCAGTTTCTGGTTTCTCACAAAAACGTCCCATGTCGTGTAAGTTGCTAACAATTTGAATATTTACTGAATTCAGTTATTCCAACTTACTAATTATGAAGAACCAAATGAAATGTATTACCATAAAATTTTACAATTAATCAGAGACCATACATAATTGTCAAGAGTACAATCTTAGGTATTTTCAAACTTCAAAAGGAAATAGATACTGGTCTATGTACATATATTTATATGTTATGTATCAGGGTAGCAGATGGACATTGGGCCTCTACTCAAATCCTCCCGTAACACAAGAACACTTTGTTCTAATAACCTGGCATTATGTGATGCTCACCTTCCCAACACAATCACTGAAGACAAAATGGGTGTATAGGCTAATCTGGTGAAGAAAGCTGATGGTGCTAGGCTATTAGAAGATATAGTGTCTGGTGTGTTAACGACTTGAAGTTAAACAAGTGGTCATCTAGCAGGGAAGCAACACAGCCCACATAGAAGAAGCATACCAGCCTGTGTGATCACGAGGTGTCAGTTGGATCAGGCAGTCATCCGAAGACCCAAAACAAACAACCGTATCAATGCAAACAAGCTCAGGCTGGAGTGGAGACCCAAAGCCCATCTATAGGCAATTGGGCATATCCCGTCACAGAACAGCCACAGGAAGGGAAGAGTCAGCCAGGTACAGCATAACACCGATGAAATACACAACATTCCTGTAGTTTTTTTA